CCGGCTGGGATGTGTCGAACAATGGGAAGGGAGATTTCAATGTTTGCGTACCGCTCAGCATGCTATTGGGATTCTGTGAAGATTACAAACGCGTGGTGATTAACGCTCGTCACGAATTGATTTTAATACGATCGCGCAACGACAACAATTGTCTGTTTGGAGCTATAGTACTGGAGCCGCAGCTTGAAATATTCAAGATACAATGGCGAATGCCGCATGTGCTGTTAAACGAGGTGAACAAGCTATCGATGCTGCGTGCTTTGGAAAGCGGACAATACCTTAACATGGGTTTTCGATCATGGGATCTCTATGAGTTTCCACTATTGCAGCAGACGACTAAGCATTCGTGGGCTATTAAAACGGCTACTCAGCTCGAGAAGCCGCGGTATGTTATTTTCGCTCTGCAAACAAATCGAAAGAATATCATGTCTGAGAATGTGAGTCAATTCAATCACTGCAAATTGAGCAACGTAAAACTCTATCTGAACTCGGAATGTTATCCATATGACGATATGAATCTGCATTTCGATAAAAGCAAATGGTCGAGTCTGTATGATGCGTTTTCACGATTCCGGAAGAGCTATTGCGGAAACGATGATCTTGCACCTGGTCTCACTGTCAACAATTACTAGAATATGGCCCGTTTGTGGCCATCGATTGTTCTCGACAAAACGAATCGGTCAAGAGCGCGACTGTGGACGTGAGATTGGAATTTGAGTGTAAAGAGAATGTACATGCGAATACCACTGCGTACTGCCTCATTATACACGATCGAGTGGTTCAGTACAACCCGCTAACCAATGTCGTGCGCAAAATCACCTAAGTATGACAGTGTTACGTCCTGCGGACTCCACGATTTCTCTCTTTCAAAAAACCATAAGAAACACATGTGTGTTTTTTCTTCCCTATGGAAACCAAAATTTTAGAAATCAGCGGATATCGACTAGCCAATGCATGAGTCTCCTCCCCACAAAAATTTATTGCCAGAGTTTCACTTTTCGAAACTCGAAACGTAAAGTGCCCTAATCGTTGCTGGTCGATAGCCGTTGAGACAATAAAAAGGGGAGAAACAAAAGACAGATGGGATCAGGCCCTTTCAGACGGCAAATTCAAAATTCAGATTTCTAAAATATTACGATCCGAGACACTAAAAGGGGATTCAGATGTTGACCAAAACTTGACCCAAAAATGAAACTCGGGATTTTTTCGAAAGTCGCTGAAGGAAATGATGCCCATAAATAAATATCTAAGGGCGACAACGACTTAATGGTCGGGTTGCCAATAAGGAAGACAACTCCTTGACCCCTCCCAACAGTCCACCAATAAAGAACCTAATATCCAAAATCTCCTTCCACGTCCCATGACCAAGATCCACTCCCGAAAAATCATATATAAACCCAGAGCCTGCTGCCTCAGCCTCTTTGGCAGCCCCGAATCCACCAACGCACCTCGCTCGGCGACTCTTCAAATTACTTCTTTATATCCAAGTTCAAGTCAACATTCTTTTACATCAAATCATCCAGTTCAAATAAAATCAGTGCGCGATTTCGGCCGACGGACCACCTGCCTGAGCCACCCGCCTCCGACAAAAGATTTTCCAGAACATCGACCGCAATAAGTAGTAAGTCACTCGTTTCCTTTATTTTATTTTGTTTCGGTTCGACGACCTCCTTCCTCCCTTATTATTTTTACCTTTTTATTATTATTCTGAGGGACTTTCGCTAGATGTTAAAAATCTCGTCTTGGCTCTCGCGAGTTGATTTCAAGACATCTTCCACCCTTTAACAATT